GCCTCTGCCAATCAAGGAGGGGGAAGGGGGTTCGGGAGGGGAAGGGAACGCCAGACGCCAGGCACAAAGAAGGCGGCACGGCGACCTCCGCGAGGGGGCGGGGCCAGAGGGGCCACGCAGCCAATCGCGGCATCGGGCGGGGTGAGAACGGCAGGGAGGGACGGGGCGCGGGAGGGGCAGGAAGGCACGTGACGCGGAAGTGCCCGAGGGCCGCGGTAAGAGCGGGGCGGGGTTGTACCTCACGGGGTCTGTGTCCGGGGGGTGTCTCCGGCTGAGGAGCGCGTTATAGCGCAGTATCGCTGCGACGTGACACCGCTATGTTCCTGCTGCAGCTCTGCGCACGGAACTAGAGCGACGTTCAGATGTGTGAACACACGTGTATTTCCTGCTGTGTTAACAAACCTCAGTAGCCCGCGCGCACGTGCGTGGGCCTCGAGCACAGCGTGTGGCAAGAGAAGCCATGGCTCTCTTCAAGCAGGGGTGTCCAGCCTAGGGCCCGAGGGGTTTGTAAAGCGGGGCAAGGGGAGGTGTGCCCCGCCACCAAAGTTGAGGGTGTGGGGAGGTGTGGAGGTGGCAGCATGGATCCCTGTGCTGTTTAACACCGCTGCCAACTCGATCCAGGCAAGTCGTTGACCGTCCTGTCTGGGAGGAAGGCTGGCCCGCTGCTAAGGACATCGCACGTGGGGGACCTCGACCTCCCTGACTGCAAAATGGCTGAAAAATGCCTACCCCACCGGGGTGTAACGAGGATAAATCCACTTCAAACTGTGAGGGACTGGGATGCCGTGGTGGGAGGAGCTGCATGAATCTATCAGAGGAAGTTAAGAGTCAAGAAAGCATTAAACACATTGAAACAGCAAATACATAAGACGAGAAACGTGTCCAGGAGCAGTCAAATGACACCAGCGGCCGTGAGAGAGGGCTGGGTAGCGAGACGGCTGGAGAGGAGGACTGAACTGGCTGCCACCGGACACGAGGGAAATCGCACGTAGTTCTCGGTGCGGGACAAGCTGCCCAGCACTGAAGCTGGGACTCGCTCTTTGCTGCAGCGGTTGTGAACGTTTGCGAACAGGAACTGGGGCAGCGGAGAAGCGCTCACCACTGAAAACAGATCTTGTCAGTGATAGGGAATTGCTTCTTTCTGTCTAGAGTAGGGATCCTCAACCTTTTTCGGCTGCAGGCTGGAGGGACCCAATTCAGGGCAGGGCAGAAATGGGTGTTGGTGCCCAGCCACTGCTGCAGCTGCTCCCCGCAGCAGCTTGGGGATGAGGTCCACAGCCGGTGCTTATCTCCACAGCAGCACGGGAAAGAAGTTGCAGCCAAAGCCCCGTGTCTGGGCTGGACCGAGTGGCGACATGGGCTGTAGGTTGCTGACCCCTGGTCTACAGAGAAAAGAAATCAACTCTGAACGTGCTGAACAAAATGACTGTGACTCTGTGTCAGGGGCAGAAAAGCACGCTTAAATCAAGAGCAAAGCACTGTTTCAAACTTTGCTCATACTTAGACTCCAGTGGGGCTACTCTGGATTTGCTCTCGAAATTAGACCCTTGATTGCTTCAGAAGTGATAAATTATCCCCCTCTGTGATCTTGTTGGATTTGATTTCTATGTGTAATGCCCTGTGGAGTAAAGGGGAGCTTTGGGTAGTAGTGCAGGCATTTTTTCTATGCAGTATAATGCAGTAAAAATTTAATGTTATTTGTGTTTTTAAATGCTAGCCTTTATCGAGTATCTAGACCCCGATCGGAGCAGACAGAGTCTTCAGGGACTTGAACTGAAAATAAAAAGTAAAGCATACATTGCAAGGATTAAGATATGTTTGTGCAATTTCTGTTATCTTAAAATAGGGCAGGATGCTGTGGCTGATTTGTGTACGAAGCTGTCTGCAAATTCGGTACAAGATCTATACATGGATCAGGTATAGGCATGGGCCACTTTTTCTACAGAGTCAAATTTTATCCATAGCATTCTGAGCAACTCTTTTTAAGTCAAGGGGCTTTGGCCCTGCCTGTATTGATAAAGATAGTGCAGAAATAGGGCTGAAGTGAAGGCACAATGCTATTTAAAAGCTTGTAAGAGTTTAAGCCTTTGGGAGTAGAATACTAACGCACCTGCATCACAGTTCCTCTACTTGTATTTGTACAAGGATGCAACTCAATGCTTTATCTCTTTAATGTCTTTTAGGTTTTTGGCAGTTAATTCACATGTCATCAGAAACTGCAACCATTACCGTTCGCCTTGTCCGTTCCTTTGAGCACCATAATTTCAGACCTGTGGTATATCATGGAGTTCACTTGGACCAAACCGTAAAGCAGTTTGTTGCATTCATAAGGAATGGTAAAGGACCTTCTTGCTTGTTCACTTGGATCTCATGTGTAGCTGCTGCTGCCAAAGAATGCAGGCAGGAGCACATTCATGGGAAAACTGTGGTTAATGAAGTTATCAGATGTGTATTCTCTGGGGGGCAGAGGTGTGGGGTGGTGTCAGGAAGGGCTGTCAGGGTCTGCATGGGCCCATGAACCTATATAGCATGTCTCACTATCTTCAGGGACTACCCTTGTGCACTGCCTTGGAAACCCCCCCCCATGCTCAGTCATAGCGAGGCCAGAAGCTGTGCCGCAGTTGGCTCCTTTCCCCAAGCTGCCTGAGCTACCTTGCAGAACAGCTACTCAGAGAGGGCGTTAAGAGGTTTATGGTATTTAAAAATCCCTGGGCACTCTTTGTACTTGACAAGGAGCAATACCACTAATTGGCAGAGAGGAAGCTAGCCTCACAAATAGATGGGAGAGAAGAGTTTTGAAGAGTTTTATTTTACAGTATAAGGTTTTACTACATCTAATATTTCTTCTAAAGTGCATTTTCCTCTCTATTGAGTGTTGTAATCCATGTAGACCTTGAATTTTAAAGAATGGTTGAACATAACATTGAGTATGACAGCATTTAATTAATTCAGACTGAGCTTCATGCCAGCTTACTGGTTAGAATATCAAACTGATCTTGCATATGCTCAGATGGAGGAATCCATAGCGTGCAGTACGAAAGTTCAAGAATGCAGAATGGGAAATGAGTGTAAAAAAAGCTCTGACCCAGGACAGCCCATCATATTCGTACCACCGCGGTGACATTCCAAGACCTGGGCACCAAAGCTGAAATATTTGTACTGTGTTCTTTGGGGGTTTTTTTGTGCTCTTGGAGAGCAGTAGGGGGTGACTAGATTTGAGGAAGTTTGTTGAAATCTACAGTTTTCTACACGTCACGTGCAACAGCCAGTACTAAAAACAGACCATATGCATAAATAGCCGATACTAAGCAATTTGATCCTGCAATATGTATTATTGCAATTCAGGGTCATCAGGACATAGTTTATGGTTTGTGTAGAGCTTTTGAAACATCCTGCAGGCAGATACTGTATTGCCTAATGCAAAAGGTATGTTTTAATCAAGTGGGGAACAATCTTTTGGATTCTGCAGCCTCCTTAAGTGCCACTCTGATCCCCTTTCCCGGCCTGATCTGCTGCTCTGCTTCCTGCCCTATCTGCCACTGGTGCTTGTCCCCTCACTGATCTGCACTTGCCCCACTTTGGCCATGGGCTGTGGCTATGCGGGGGTGCCAGGCTCAGCAGAGGACAGTAGTGACAGTGGGTTTCCTCTTTCTGCCCTACACACAGGCTTCCCATGTCACTTATGGCATGTTTGCCACAGGTTGGCCACTCCTGCTTTAATCCAGTGGTGTTCAAACTTTTGGTTCTGTGGCCAGATGAGGGACATGGGGCCCATGGTCTGGTTCAGACCCTGTCTGCCAAAATTGTTCCCAGGGCCCTGTACTGTCTCTTCCTGCAGAGTTCGGGCTCCAGGGGTCCCACACTGGCCCCATCTGGTCCCATGTGCTGATCACACACCCATGGGGAGCCATGCAGGTCAGCTCAAGCCTGCAGGACAAGGGTTGAGCACAGCTGTTTTAATCTGTATTGTAGTGTGCTTTGAATGATGATTTTGAAATTAATTTTAAAAAACTCCCCTACACAAGGCTTCATCCTACAAGGTGCTGAAACTCCAGGAATTTCTGATCACCCCAGCCTTCCTTTTAAACTTGTAAGAGTTGAAAGGTGGAGTTGCTCTGCACCACACAGACCAGAGCCCATAAACAGGGCTTCCTTTTGTGAGTTGCTTAATGTGTCTGTTTTTACAGAAACAATTCATGTAGGATGTCAGTTGTTTAGGTGCAAATGCACATGCATTTGTATGCTAGAGGATACAGGAGACTCCTGACAGAGCTCTGGAGGAAAAGACCCTTCATACTTCAGGGACTACAGTTATTTGTGGGGTTGGTCTTGTTGAGATTAGTGCAGCTCCCTTTACCAGCTGCACTGGGGGTTTTCAGGATTTGGGCCCAATGATACATATCAGCTTTTGATGCTAAATCAAGACTCCTGTTTTGATAATCTTTTGTAAAGAACAAGTTCAGTATCCCATCCTTTCTGAAGTAGTCACTGAGTTGTTTTTCACTTAGTCTTTTTACTTTTAATAGATGTGTCTTCAAGAGCAGGACTTCCACCTCCTTTCAGAAATTACAAATATGGTATGTTTTTGGATTGTTTTATTCTTTAGAAAATGCGTGTTGAGTTTGCAGTTTAATGCGTTTACAGTTATTGCCAGCTAAACATATAGTAATTTAGGACTAGCTTTCTGGAATATGCGTAGATATGTACCTGTGTGTCTGATTGCAGCTGTGCCCAATCAGCCGTTACCTTTACATTGTATGTCTGTGCATAGCGTAGCCATTATTATGAATTTCTGTATTCACTTCAGAATTAGGCATCACATTACACATTCTGCTGCTAATTGGCAAAGGCATATTTTGAGTATTAATTTTTTATCACTTTTATAAGTGCCTTTTAACTCTGTTCCCATTCTACAGAGCCGCTTGTGACCTGCCATGCTTTGAAACCACATTCCTCTGCGTGCTTATGCATTTCAATATCTAGCTACTAATTGTGAGGTCGTGAGGGATGGCTAAGCAGGAGCTGAAGGCATCGAATGTAAAATGCTTAGATTTATGTACTTAGAGAATTTACATAATAAATATTAAATAGGAGGAGGAGGAGAACATGGCTAAAGGTGAATAGGAAAGCTCTTCAATACAAATTGACAGAATGAAATAGGTTGAGGTAATATTTAACTCTGAATCGATGCTCTAACGTAAAACTTCTTAGCTGCAGGTTTTCTTTCTATAAAGCCTGGTGTAAGCAGGTATAGATTGTCTTACTCTGAATAGAATCTGTTTTCTGCAAGTCTGTACTTACCCTCTTCCAGGGATCTGGCTTTGATGGTAAGTCTGAAGACAGTAATACATATCCCTGGGCACAGACCTCTTACAACCTGGCTGTTCTAAGTGGTTCCTCCTGGAGGTCTTTCTACCGTGACCTCCCACTTCCCTGTGTCCAGGTTGGAGATGACAGGCCACGCTCGTCACAGTGAGTCCGCAAGAACTGGTCAGCATCTCCCCAAGTGAGGCACAAATTTAGTTCTTGGTACCGATGAAGAAACCTGTTGAAGAAACTGAGAAGGCCTAGGGAGCTGATTCTCCACTTACACAGAGCAGGGAGGGGGAAGGTACAGAATGGAAGTATGAGAGAGACAATTTGGGAATTAGAGTGTAGACTGCTGTGTTTGTGCCTTTATCTTCTGTTATATATCTATATCTAGACATGCGCAGACATACAATCTCTCTCCCTCCCTGTCCCCCCCCGACACACACAGACCTTAATTTTGACATTGTATTTAAGGATTTAAAATTCTAGTGATGTAATGACATCTCTGAGGTGCCATCCTTTACCTCTATTTCCTCCTTTTATTGGTAAACAAAGGAGATGTGACCTATAACTTGGTTGCTTATGCTGTGTAGGTGGCATGTCCCTGGTGTTAGCCTTGCCTCGCATTTGCTCATGGTACTTGCCATCAGAGCATCAGGTTAGATTTGCTGTGGGCCTGGCCATGTGCTTTTGGACAGCTGTTACTTGTGGATCTGAACAGTCATGGCAGCGGCACTGCATGTGGGTGCAGAGAGGTACAGCAGTTGGAATCCTGTGTTACTAGCTCAGCCGTGGCCTCTTCTAAGTACAGAAGTGCCAGCTATGCTGAGCTTTCTTGTAAAGAATTACAGTTGAGATCCTGATCCTGACTGAGAACCTTTCTTCTTAGGTCTGCCCTGGTACCTCTGCTTCTTTACAGGTTCTTGCCATTGTTCAGGTCCATCATCTGCACATCCTCTGTGGTTTTGCCCTTAGCCTAGCTACAAGAAGGAAATGTACAGGTCTTGCTGCTTCTCTCTGCATACCATTGTTGTCCACACAGGGCATACAGTGTGAATTAAAAACAAGCAGGAATCTTATCAGGGGATAAGGCACAATGCCTTATCATAAGGAACATAAACATAAAACATACAACATGAAAAAAATAAAGAACAGTAAGGTTATCTGCTTTACTCATTCCCATACATACTCATTCATTCATAGAAAAGAAACAAGCACACACACAGATAGTTAGACAGTCCTGCAAAGGTTAAGGTGTTACCAAGTTCTGAAGATGCTCGGGTCAGTCTGGTGGCTGGCCAGACTGACCACGAGGAATGGAGTCAGGTCTTGTTGGACGTGCCCAAAACCCCTTGCATGTGGACAGACCCAAAGCCTTTTCTTTGTGTTCATTCTTTATAGTGATAGCTGTCCATACAAGCCTGTGGATTCTGCAGAGTCAGATGCAAAGGTCATCCTCCTTGTTCTGTTGGCAGGCTGGGATTGGTAGGACGTGATCTTCTGGCCTTGTGGTCTGCAATCTTCAGGAAGGGTCATTGCTTGTAGTCTTCAGCTGTCAGGGTGAAGGCATGATTTAGTATTTGGTAATCCTTAACTGCTGACTTGAGGTCGCCGCAACCTTTAACTTAAAACACAGAAGGCTATTTTCACCTGCTGGAGGACTGTCTTCCTTCACATTGTCACATACGTACATCGTTCATTCTTTCATTACCTCTTTTCAAACATGCCAGGCATACTACAGACCTTACATAAACATTTTTCTTATACCAAATTTAAGTTCCAAAATCATGAGACCAATAAGTCAAATATATTTATGCTAAGCAATAGGAAATTTAAAATAGATGGTTAATTCCAGAACAATAATGACTGATTAAAATATTATGGAAAGTAAATCATAACAAGATTAACTTTATCTTAATGGCTAAGTAATTCATTATAAAAAATAGCAATATAAGCAATTTTAGCTACTTCAATACAACACCATCACAAGTGGCGATTCCTTTTTCTGCCTCACCTCACATGGCCAGGACTCTCATCCAGGTCCTGGTTCTCTGTTAGCTTGATTACTTCAGCTTTCTCTTTTCTAAACTTTACTGTTGTAGCCTCATTTCCTGATGTTCATTAAAAATGTGGCCATCAGACTCATCATCTTGACTGTTATCTACGATTAACCTGTCTTCTTCCATGTCCTTCTGTTGACACACTCCCTTGGTTTCGCCATACTGTATATGCTTTCCCCCACTTTCAGAACCCTGTAGTTCCTGCCTGCGAGTCCATCTTACCGTGTTATTGACTTTGATTGTGCTCCACAAATTATGCCAAGTTGGCAGCCCACTTGCTTCTCTCACAAGCACTTTTGCACTTCTCCCACATATATGGGGCAGTGTGGGAGAAGCTCCACAAAGTGACAACCTAAGTTATCTCTGCCATGATGCCTGCAGAAAACAGCTGTCTGATAATGGCCAAGCAGGTTGTGAGTAGTGACTGTTGTTTCCGATTGGTTTACTGTAAATTGTGCACAGCCAGTTTGCACTGAAGGTCCCCACTCCTTTCTGTTTGTCTTGTGCATATCTTGTGTGTAGTCCTGTTGACTGTAAGCTGTTCAGGGCAGAGATTGTCATTTGTTACACATTTGTATTGTATTAAACATGGCAGAGACCCATCCTCATGGCGTCTTCTAGGCTCTACCCAACGCAAATGGCAGTTAGAGGCTTCATTTGAGTTGATTCCTACTTCGTCTTTTATGACAGTGTTTTCATTTCTGCTCTTGGAGAGGTCTGTTGGTAGAAGACACAAAGTAAGACTTATGAATGTGATCACATGAGACTAGGCAGGACATGGGCAGATCTAGGTTTTCCCAAAGGAGGTGTGGTGCACCAACCCCTAGACCCTGGGAGATGGGGGCCAGATCTGGCTGTAGCCCCTGGGCTGACAGGGGAACTGGGCAGAGAGTGGGTGTCTGAAGGGTGAGGGGAACCAAGCTGCTGCCACCACTGTCCCCAGCTGACCTGGGGTTTGCGGGGGAGCCTCACCTTGCACCCTGCTCCAGCTGCAGGGAGCAGCTGTGCATTGAGTGATGCTAGTGTGCAGGTTCCTCCTCCTGGCTCCTGTTCCTGGCCCTCTAGTTCGGCCACACCCCCAGGTGTCCCTGCTTGCTGGGAGGAGGAACCTGTGTGTACTGCTATTGCTATCTCTGTGACTACAGCAGGTCAGGAATGGCCCTGGGGCACCCCACGTGCCTGTGTCAGCCAGCAGTAGTGGGGAAGGTTCCTCCTGCTTCCAGTCAGTGGGGGCCATAGGGGTGGGGATATCAGGGAGCAGATGCAGAAGGAGGAAACCCACTACCATTGCTGCCCCCTGATGAGCCTGGCACCCCAGAGTTGCAGCTCTGGGGCTTCCCCGTGTCCAGGTCAGCTGGTGACTGCAGTGGCAGTAGCAGAAAGGGGGTGTACCTGCACTGCTGCACATCTTTCCTCCTCCCTTCCCCTCTCCGCATCCATCCCTGGGCAAGGGTAAAATGGGTAGCCAGCCAGAGGAAATGAGGCTTTTACCAGGATGTAGAAGAGAGACCCAGATTTTATCTGCCCAGGAGAGCTGAGGAGAAGCTCTTCATTAGGGCAGATGGTGAAATGCTGTGATGCTTGCTGCTGGTGGTGATGTCGTGAATGAGTACAATTAAGCAAGTAGATTGGAGACTTAAAGGGTGGGGAAAAAAAAGGTCAGATGGTGAAGTTGTGCTAGGACTTGAAAACCAGTAAGCAGATGTTGGATTGCACGCCTTGGCATACAGAGCTGGCTGAGGTCAGTGAGGATCCCTAGTAATTGTCGCGTTTGCATCCCAGAGATGAAGGCCCGGTACATTTGCAGTGTGATTGTTTGCAGTAGCTCTGTGTAATATAATGAGATTCCTGTAAGTGCTGCCTGATGCACATCTTGCTTCTGAAAGAGAGAATTCGGTAATATGGCAACTGGGCTTGCATGCTAAATCTGCCCCTTTAGTGACCTTTGTGGTGGGAGAACAGTTGCTTCAACTTTCCTTAATACCATAAATAGAATGCATGAAACTGGCTGAAGTGTGCATGTGTTAAAAGTGTGGTGACAAACCTTGAAATCAGAATCCGATCTTTTATGTACTGGAGAACAGACCCTTCAATCACACCAGTCCATATTTTTAGCTCTTTTGAATCCTTTTCTTTGTAGGCTTTTTAAACGTATAATTTTCTGCTAAAACAATGCACACGAAATGAATAGGGAATGAGCTGGCAAACAGCATTGGGTTTTCGTTCTTTTTCTGAAGAAAGACCCGTGTCCTAAATTTGATTTTCTTCAAAACATAGATTCTTTGGAATCCTGGCTTTGAAGCTTCTTTCTCAGCCCTGCTCCCTGTGTGGGTGTTTGCTCATATATGCCTACTTTTGGTGACAAAACTCTTTCCTATTTTTTCCCCACGGTTGCTAGCACAGCAGAGCTGACAAAGCTACAGGAGAGCGAGTTGTATTTCTTTCCTTGTGCAGCCCCACTCATTACATTTCTACTAGCTTCTGTGCATCTTACCGGAGAAAAGTTGGGTAGGTATTCCTGGGGTCATGGAATGAAGACAGTGGGATATTGGTGGCCTGGCATAATTCCGTGTTAAACCACTCCATTTTGTAATACGAAAAGCAAAATGGAGAATGCTGTGTCCTCATTGTGCAGTGTTTGGTTACTATGCATGTGCCTGTGGTTCAGCTTCCTGCTTGCAAAGGTGCTGAGGGCTTGCATCCCATAAGAGCCAGATCCCAAGAGTGCGGCCCTCCACTGCAAAGTGCACCTTGCCAAGTGGCCTGGAGAACTTGTGGCGTACCCCAATGCAAGGTTGTAATTGCAGGGCTCACAGTAGGAGGAGTGGTCCTTGCTTTTTCCCTTTCTTTTGAAGTGAGAACATTGAGGTTGCTTTCAGCTCTATTTTTCTGTGATTTTAATGAAGTTCTTAAAAGATAACAAAGGTAGAACCTGCAGTGCAGTTTTTATGGCCTAGCTTGCCAGGCGAACCACATCATGGAGAACATTCTGTTTTCTTTCAGATACAATGAAGATTATTCACCAAGCACATAGATCTAAGGTATGTAGCCTCTCTCTTTCGCTGTTTTGCGTGTGTCGATGCAGGAAGCTTTCTGTGCTGTTTGACAACACCATGACAAGGCTGATCAAACTCACATTTATCTTTATATCCACATTTACTTATTTCTAGACCAATGAACTTGTAGTGAGTTTGGAAGATGATGACAAACTCATTTTGAGAGATGACAGCACTTTGAAAGCAGCTGGAGTAGGTAGGTAGTAGCAGGCATCTGTCTGTCTCGCGAGACAATAGAATTATGCCGAGTGAGACATCAGCTCACTGAACATAATCCTCACTTGAAAATAAAGTGAAGCTGGAGTGACTTTCCAAGGAAAAAACCTGGGCAGCGTATATGGAGACAGTGAGCTGCCCACACACCAGTGTCCCTCTCTTAGCCTTACTGGTTTAATCCAAAGGAATGGCAGGTATCCGTACGTTTGGAACCAGCTTGGGTGCAGGAGGTGGCAGAGCCACACTGACTAGAGGTTATTCTAGCACGCTTATATTGACTGAAGGCGCTGTTCATTGTGCTTGTCATCATACTGATAACCGAGTGATTATGTTTGGATAGCCTGCTGAAAAGTAAATGCTATTCCTCATGCTCTTTACACTACCTGATAATTATTCAGGGAAGACGGGGGGGATAATGTACATTCAAATCATTGGGCTGAGGGCAGCAGGTAGCTGCACTCCAAATGTTCAGAATGCAAATTGTGATTTTTAGAAGGTATGCTCAGAATTCTGCTGAGAGTAATTTTAAATGATTGACAGATAGGTTATTAGTACCATGTCTGCTTAGTCTTATCAGTAACATTTAAACTGATGTTTTGGTTAGAAATTTAAGTAGTGGAACTAGTGTGGAATAATGAAGTGAGATTAGATTTGTTTAATGTGCAACACAGTGTGCCTGATAATCAGGGAAATGACTAAGGGTAGCACAAACAGTATCATTTAGAAAATGTGCCAAACATGGCATAGAGTTGAAAACTGACCTGATCCCTTGTACTGTGACACGAGAATGCACATGGGGCACGTCCTGTGATGATAATATGAGGAAACGCCTGCCTGTGACAGACCCGACGGTCACTGGATGTCGCTTCGGTTCCACACAAATGGAGCTGAGCCATTATGTGACAGCAGAGTGGTGAAGAGGCCCAGTTGGTATATTGGACTTGGGGCGCTTACAGGGATGTACCTAAATCTAAGACAACACAGTCTTACTCTGGGGGTGAAACGACACAGGTTGTTACAACTGTGAGAACCCGTTGGACGCACACCTTGCTGGGGCTGTTTGACCCCAGCCGTCTTTCCTGCCCAGAACAAGGGGGCTGGACCCGATGATCTCACGAGGTCCCTTCCAGCCTGAAACTGAAAAACCCATTCAGCATTAGGCCATTTATCCTGTCACCTGACCAGCGAAGGATTTCTCCTTGGAAAGTATTCTTTAGCTTTTTGTCTGGCCTACTCTAAAATGCTTTGAGCAGTGGAGTTTCCTCCACTCCCTGTGATAACTAACATAATTTTTTTTGCAGTAGTAAAAATTTAAATGGTATCTTAGAAAACCCTCTCTTAATTTGTTTCTGTGACTCCTGGCTGCCTCTCATTAAGCCACCTTCAATGATCCCCCTTTCTCTCTCGGTGTTGACACTTCTCCAGTGCATGTAGTTATCTCCAGCTGAAGAAGTATCTCTTACTATAAGTTTTCACTGTGCTGAGCAGAATTGGGCCCTCTGAAAGGCCTCTGGGCATTACTGTAATATTAATAATAGTCATTCTTAGCCTTCCCTCCTGAATTAGTCCTTTTAACTCAAAAGAAAAGCTGTCCTTTGGGAAGGCGGATTTTGGCGTTTTGAAGACTTCAGAGTCTTGTGAATTTTAATTTATTATATGACTTATTTAGCGATGAGTCTTATCCTGTCTAAGACCTAAGGGACTATGTAGGCTAATGGTCTAAGTAAGGGGCAAAGGGGACAGGGGCAGATATCTCTTAAAAGCTTACTGTGCCCAAGACTTCCCTCTTGCAAAAGACATTGCTGACTTATTTGTACATACCCGCCTTTGAACCTGGGTTCATAGAACTAGCAGTTACAATAATTCTGTGTTATAGAAACACCAGAGTAAGTTGTTTTAAAAAAAACTCGGGATCCACCAACAAGTTTGAATATTTCTACGAAGGGGAGGAAGGAATGGTTTAACCATGGGAGAAAAGCAATTAAAACAGTGTTTCTATAACTATTCAGGCTAATTGTATACCAGCCACAAATGCTGACCATGTGTCAGTGCCTGTCTGTTGTACGTGAAAAATGAAGTTCTTGCTTTGTACGATGGAAGACAGACCACCTGGTACGTGTCGAGTGTGAGGTTTTAGAAGAACCATTCTTGAATCCTGCTGCATTACGGTTAACCTTTGTGTGAAAAGCCCTCTCCCTCTGCAAGTGGGTGACTTAGAGTAGCTAAGCATTTTGTTAAGCTCTTTGTAGTTCCTGCTTTTAGCCATTAAGGGTAAATTTGAATTTCTGGTCTATAGCAGAAATGCAACAAAGTTGTAAACCACGCAAGTGAAAGCCAGCATCTTGTGGCTTTAGTCCTGGAACTGAACCTGTTCCCATTGTAATTGGGCAAGTCATAAGCCTCCCATATTCAATTAGGGCAACATTTGCTGCAAAAAATCCCACTGACATTTCCCTTTAAAAAGCCACGGGTCTGATTCTGCTGAGCACTCTCCTAGATCTTAATGAGGTGGCTTCTAGCCCTTGGCAGGGTTGGGCTGGGAAGATGTAAAAAAAAATAGGGACATTAAGCCAAGTATCCTTAGGAAATCCTCTGTGGTGGCGATTATTATTACAGCTATTTGCTAGGAAGCAAAGTTAATGCGTGCCTGTTTTTAGAGTGGGGCGTATGATAATAAAGTGTTCAGTATTCATTGCAAAAAGCCTTGTCTGTTTCCCAGTCAAGCTTCTAAAACCCCTCCTGCTCTTTTTCATGACAGGCAGACTTCATTAACTTCAGGTTTAATTTAAAAAATGAATGTGGAACTTATTGGCTCAGCACCTTAAAGAATTCCATGTTTAATAATTGTGAAAGCTTTCCATCAGATTTGTCTCCGCTCTGAATTAGTAATGTTGCTGACTTATTGTTTTAGAAGAGGAAGTCCTTGACCTACTGGGTTGAAAGAATTGTGACTGCTCTGAACCTTTGTGGGTCCTTTAGCTCTGCCGTATCCCCTGTGAATAATTAGAGGTATTTGAAGGTATTGCTGGAGAAGCCAATTTGTGTCTTTCACTTTGCATATTGTTGAAGCCTCATGAATTAATCATCAGCAGGGCAAAAAATTAACTTCTTCAGACACATATTTTGATGGGTCATGAGGGAGAATGTAAAGTGATCTGTAAAATATTCTACTGATCCTCTAAGTATTAAATTATTATACCTACAGGCTAATTTCAGAAAAAAAGAAATAGTTTTTTTCTTTCCTAACTGAATACTGGGCAAGCATTTTCTAGCATTTTAAAGAGTAAAAATGCAATCTCTTAGTTTGCTAAACGTATGCAAATGGTTTTTGGCTAAATAAGTCATGCAGATATTTACAGCTCCCTACAAAATTTATCTTTATTCTTAACCAAGCTAAGTCACATCCTCGACACTGGAGTCTTATGGAAAAAATAACAGAGGGGTTATTGCTTTAAACCAAAAAGGCACCAAATGCCCTTTCAAGCCCTAATTACAGTAGGGCTTTTGGTGGTTAATTTATTGGGCAAATTTAATATTTTTTTTTTTATTCCTTTCAGCAAATGAAACCGAATTAGCATTCTTCTGTGAGGAAGATTACAGAAACTACAAAGCTAATCCTGTTTTGGCTTGGTGAAGATCCCAAGGAACCTGTTTTTTTTTTAATTTTGTTTTCTTGTACCTGTTGTAAACTCTTTATTTTGTTGTAATAAGTTTGGGAGTTTTTTTTGTTTGTTTTTTTTTTAATGTTCAATAAATTTTAGAGGATTGTTCCACAGGTGTTGCAATTCCCTTATTATAGACATTCATTTCTTTCAGGATGCTGCAATTGAGAGGGGGAAAAAATATATTGACACAAATGCGCTTTCCTTTTCTTATGGTTCCTTTTTTCTCTTTTAACATTTCAGAATGTCGGGAGTGTAAATGATCTCTGACCTGTGACATGCACAGTCTGTGTGCGATCCTACAACAATGGATTTTGCATGAGGGATGTTAGATATGTATGGAAATTGTACAAGGCAGATCTAAATCCCATCAGAGTGTTATCCTTTCTTATGAAAATGGAAACTTTTTATGACCAAATCACTGGATACTTAAAAGGGCTTAGCTAGAGAATCTCTACCTTACAAGTAATGGCTTTATTCTACTCATTTTCTGTTCAGTCGGCTTTGTTTGAGTGGTGCAGACTGATTAGAGTTTTGTATTCTTCAGTGGTGAATGCTTCCCTTTATATTCTGTATCCCGACCCCTTTTAGTGTGATGAAACAGGCAAATGGCTGTTTGGAGGCTTTTGTGTCTGAGAGTAGCCTGCCTGGTTTTTTTAGTATTATTTCATGGAGATGTCGCGGTCTACAAAGTAGCAACCCGGCTTCTTGTAAGACATTAGTATGCAGAAGCAGACTTTGCGCATTCCTCCAAATGGATTGCAAACGGGTGGCTTCAGTACTGAAATAAAGCCTAAATCACTGCATTTCCTGGGATGTCTACATAATCAGGAGTAATTCTTTCCCTTTCTTCTCGAGATGAATACTTCCAGGTAGTTTCTGGTACTGCTGTACTCTCCTGCTGTGCACACCAAGTCAAGACCAGTAATAGTCTTGTCATACATCACTGGGAGAGCTCTCCCTAGCAAGTACCCACGAGCTGCTGTTTGGGTCCTACCACCCTGGATGCATACATTGCTCTTGGTGAGATAGGCTACAGCCCTGGGTCTTTCCCTCGTCATGCTTCCTGGGCACGGGCTCTGTTTGTTATCTTTTCCCATGGTAATGGGATTTCATAGCCTGGCTTCAGGGCCCCAGGACCAGCACTGCTCCTCCAGACGTCCCAGTGGCTTAAGCACACCTTTTTCTCAGGGCTTCAATCCTGTGAGCACTTTGGGATTTTTTTTTTAAGGACAACAGATAGCAAAAGCAGACAGACACTGTGGTTTTGCAGAGATGTCTAAATACAGCATAAGCAAGGTGGAAAATCAGGGAAAAAAATAATAAAACCCTGTGTGCATATCCCTGCCTCGGTTTGCTCACCGCTTCTCAGGCTTAGGGCAGAGCCCTCTGGATCTCTCTGCTGCAGCTCATGGCTGTTTCTCCAAATTGCAGAGTCTTTCTAGTGTGCAGCTAGTTTATTTCTTCCCAAGTGGGTCTTGGGACCACCCTGAAATGAAACCGCACTCATTTCTTGCTTTTTCTTTCATGATCATGCATCTTGTGTTTAGGAGCCTGTTTGAGTCCCCCTACCCATCTCATCCTCTTGTGCTTTTAAGATCCAGCATGAACACCTGACTATTTTGTTCTCCTATTTGGGGAGTTCCTGTAACCTCTCCAGATAAACTGGGACTAGTTTCCCTGCACTTTAGCAATCCTGTTGTCCCAAGGTGCTCCCACTTAAATGGGAGCTGTCAGGGTTCACGACCTGCCATTATTCCTGGTCCATGAGCTGTGTGACAGTGCTGACAGCTAATGCTACATTTCACATACACCGAGGCATTCAGTGCTGCAGCACTTTCGGCAATTTAGGGTTCTGGTTGATGTTATATGGTTGGATTCTCGCATCATCCCAGAATGATTAGCTAAACTTCCTCTCAGGGAAGAGTTAATACTGCTGTAAGGCAGTGACACCGCTTTGCCTCTGCTGTACAGTAGCACAATTGAGCCTTTTATTATGCTCTCAGTAAAATGCTTTGTATGCTGGACTCTTTCTGAAGTACTGCTCTACTGGTGTTTTTTATCAGCTCTTTTAAACCACATTAGTCTTTCCAAAAAAAATTACAGAAAATCACCAACACTTACATTGTTCAAAAGCAGAATACTGGAACAGGATAAGGGAGCCTGGGCGATGGACAATGGAGCCTTTCACCACTGGACACTTGTTAGATTCTGGATCGGTTGAGTGCCAAATAAAAGTTGTTGGCATCTATTTCTCTTGGTAACCAATGTGAATTAGAGGTCTCTGTCCAGCTTCTTAGGAAATGGGGCATTCTTTTGATATGGAGATCGTCATATTAGCTTGTGAGTTTTATCAGAAGCCATGAGCTGGATGGACATGGTAACAGCACTAATCACAAATCAAAGGTGGCTTCTCTCAGGCAATGAGAAGTAACTCGTATGAATTTTGCTTGTGCTTTGTTATTGGGGGAATATTTACTTATATCAGGGGTGGGCAATTATTTTGGGCAGAGGGCCGATTTCTGAGTTTCGGCAAGCCATTGAGGGCCTCATGACAGGCAGCTCAGGGCAGATTAATATTAATTTTCTAAATTTTTTAGGGGCCCCGCGGGCCGGATAGAATGGCCTGGCGGGCCGCATCCTGCCCCCGGGCCACATTTTGCCCACCCCTGACTTGTATGCTTCCCTTTCAAAAAAAAAAACCTCAGGGCAGTTTATTATAAAGACAGAGGGTGTGTCTACACCAGATGCTAAATGCGCAGTAGATGAATTCTACTGTGCATTAGTGCATCACAGCAAAAGCCGTGCTATTGTGCTAATGCTCCATAAAATGAGTCTACTGTACATGAGCATTACTAAAAAGGTGTTTGTCAGCGCTACTGCACACTAGTGCCAGTTACTGCACATTCAGTTGGTAGCTGTTATTACAGATACTAAACTTAATGCGCAGTACCTAATGCACGTGTAGACGTGCCCAGAATAACTTATGAGGACTTGTTTTTCAGAGCTATTTCCTGTCCTCTGTCCCTAGCTCTGAAGCAATATATAAAACAAAGAGCAGTAGTCTTTATTTTGGGGGGCTTTTGCCTTAAGTCAGCCTGGATGGTGAGATGAATTAAACTTTCTGCTCTATGGATCAGAGAGATGGCTGTAGGTAGGGAGAAGAGAGTTTGGAGATATGGTATGGAGACAAAAATGGCCCTAGAGGGAATGGAAGCAGTGTTAGATGCTGGCATGGGTAGGAAGGCAGCTGTATAAGGAAAGGGCTCGTTTGGGGAGGAATCACCAGTGCAAGCAAGTGGTGAGGTGCAATAGAAACTAATGGAATCCATTCTTTGTTACTGTTGGGTCAGCAGGATATAAAAAAAACTACCCTAGTTTTCACACATTTATTTCCTTTAGTAGTCCCTTTAAAATGCATTTTCAAACCTTGGCTCTGCAGGCATCTGGGTTTCCTGGCTCTGACACGTTTCACTTCTGGTACTCAGAGTATGTTTTATTTTTAACCTGAAGTTAGTGATTCTTACAGGCTAAAGATATTGCCACCGTGGATATGTGTAATAAGTAAGATAAATTCTCCCAATTGTTTTTGGCTGAGACTCCTCCTTGGGAAGGAGTCTTGTTGTACCATGTCAGGGGCTAATTGCAGGAGTGGCTGTACCATCTGGAAATCACTTTGGTTTAGAAATAATCTGCTAGTATTGAGCAAGTCCTGGCATGGGGTGAAAGCTCTTTCTTTGGAGCACAGCTCACAATCCGCCGGTTAATTTTTTTGGGGGAAAAAAAGACGTGTGTCAACTTCTGCACAACATTCATCACTGCTCAGAAGCAGTTGTGGATTCCTGTCCTCCTTGCAGAGGAGCAGGGAAACCACAGGCCATGATCTTAAAGGTCAGGGATTAGGAATGAGAATGAAAGACACGTTGTACTTGGCTGTGCTTTGTTATACTGGTAAGAGGGTCCTGGGCTTCCACTGAGGTCAGTGGTGTAAATACTTGAATTACTCGCTGCAAAAGTTGGGTGTCTGACATATGTCCTGCAATGTTTTAGTTGGGTTCTGCTTTTCACTATTTGGGACCAAAGCTGTTATCTCCTCTTTGGGGTGCTGCTGATCATCGATTTGTTTTCAAACGATCAATATATTATTGCTTACCCTTGAAACATTTATATTGAGTGAGTAGGCTTCACTCCTCCCATGTGCTTCTTTCCCCTCCTCTTGCCACTCTGTATTCCCTTTTCCCATGCTTAATTTGGACAACCAGTCCAATTAAAGGCATATATGTCTTTCCAAAAGCATAAGCCATCCAACCCATCCAGCTGTGACTTGAGGGAGAAGAGAATTAAAGCAGGGGTCAGCAACCTACGGCTCGCAGATTCATTGGCTCCACGGCCTGGATCTGGCTCACAGACTTAAGGCTTTGGAGGCATTTGGTGGTGGGGTGCTTCAGTTGTGGGAGCTTTCCCCTTGCTGCTGTGGGGGAAGTGCCAGCCGTGCGTGGGTCATAGTGCCCATCCACAGGACTAGTGCCCACCTCCTGTAGTGCCCCTGACCTGATGCGGGTCATTCCAACCTGCAGCCAGAAAAGGTTGCTTACCACCAAATTAAAGGATTGTTTTGAAACAGATTTCTACAGAGCATCTCCAGTGATTATAACCCTGGCCACCTGCCAGCTTAACCATCAAGTACTCTGCCATGTGTTTGTGCAGGGGAGGGAGGAATACAGCAAAGGTGTCTCTGTCTGTGGAGAAAGCCACCAGATGTCAGCACAGCCTGTCCTTTTGTCTCCAAACCTGCCTAAGCAAGGAAACAGCCTTTGTGAAGCAGTGTTGGACAGTGAGTAGCTTTAAGTTGCAAAGCCTTTAACCCTGCTGGAGCCAAAAGCTAACGCTTTCCTTGCTGGCAGGGTGGTATTTCATACTGGAATCGGGAAGCAGCAAATCAGGCAGGTGTCAAAGCTGAAATGCCTCCTGTTACAGGGCATCCCTTGCAGTCAGTCCCGGCGTGTCTAACCCTTTGCACACTGGGCATCAGTCCACCCAGACCATTCACTGGATGCATTCACTGGTAAATACCTGCTTTCAGTTGCTGGGGCACACTTATGTGCATT